AAGAGTCTTCTCTTAAGATTTTTATTGTTAGAGAAGATGAGTTCCAAATCACAGCATAGTCATTGATCAAGGGGTGGTCTGTTCCTACATGGAAGGAGAAATGCCTGCTGTGTTTCAGCTGCTTTGACTTCTGGGCAAAAACTGCAAGGTTTCTGCTTTGCTGTAAACTGAAATGCAATGTACTCTTTGTATTCCTTAGCCCCAAGTTCATTTAAATTGTGTCTCTTTAAGGTTCAGAACTTTGACAGAATCCTGGTCCTGGATGTTTGTCTTGTGGTCAGGGTAAACTGAAGCCAGTGTGACAGCAGAAGTTGTGTCCTGTCCCATGGCCAGGAACTGACTCATCATGTAACCTGAAGGAGGAACACTGTTCTTGTGATTCTGTCAATTTTCTTACTTCTCAGAGAATGTGCACAGTGGTAGCAGGAAATGTTCCAAGCAGCAAGTTAAACTATGGAGTGGAGAGGTTAAACTGGCAGTTTAAGGGCAAATTCTAAGCAGATCTGAAAGAGCAGCAGAAGGAAACTTGGATAGTAACTAACTTTCCCAAGAGCTGGTATGGATTTTTGTCCAAAATCTGTATTTTTTCTATTTTTGTTCTTAGCTCTAGACAACCTGGATGTGTAGAATCTTGCTCTGTTCTCATGCCATTGGGCATCTCTACTTATTTTGCTTCTTCACCAGGAAAATGCCCACAGCTGAGATGAGAATCAAGTCAGTCACTTCACTGAAGTAATGATGAATTATGCTTGGTGCAACACTGTACAAAGCTGTATTTCTGATGGCTGAAACATAAAACTGAAAGAGGAAATAGAGAGGTTTAAAAGAGAATAGGTCCATTTTCAGCCACCTGATAGTCCCAGATCTAGAGTAATGTAAAAATTACATATTGTTCTAATTTACTTTGGCTGTTCAACAATAATTTTCTCCACACAGAGACATTATTCAAGAACAAAGGAAAAAGAGTGGAAAAGGCCCTTCCAGAACATTGTCATCTTATTGCAGGAGTTCCATACTGTTGTCTCCTATTGCAAGAGTTTCATACCTTCTTGATGTTTTCTCATGGGCTGTTCCTCAAAGCCCTGACTCTTTCTTCTTCACAAAGCAGCCAACTGACACTAATTCCCTTCTCAACCAACCACCCCACTCTTTTATAGCACTCTTGTTCTCATTGGATACAGCTCTGGCCTGTTAAAGTCAGACCTGTTCCTAATCTTTGATAATTGGCCCAGATGCAACTCCTTAGGGGTAAGATTACTTTCTACACTATCTTTATTGTCTTATATTTTTCTTATATTTTTCTTATATATCCCCATACACCAGAATACTATTGGGAAATAATTTTGCTGAAGACTTGCACTGGTGGTCAACTTTTCTGTGCAGACTGCCTGTTTTGCATCTCATTGAAATCACTGCAGAAACTGTCACATTCAGTTATTGGATGAAGAAAGGTTGTTTCATATTTTCTGATGGTTATTTTTCATCCATGGCTGTAAATATTTAGTGATGTGCCAATCAAACCTGTCCTACTGCAGTGGAAGCCATTTTCCTGCAACATCAGAAGGGGGAGGACATAAAACCAGTTACTATGATGCAGTAAAGCATGATGGCAGTACTGGTTTTCATTGTGTTTTGTGTATGTATTTGGGAAATGAAATGTGTTCAACTAGGCCATTTTCCTTGATTCTACAACTTCCTTCATTCCCAGCTTGGTTCTGCTGCGGAGTATAATGCATGAGTAACACAGAGATAGGACTGAAGTGGTGTTTGCTAATACAAGTGATGATAACAGCAAGTCATGTTGATGGATTTTAAAAAATTGAACTGTTTCTTTAGTGAGCAATTGCATGGTCAGTCCTGGCCAAGCAGCAAAGGATCCTACAGCTGCTACCTCTGGGTGCTGCTTTCCCAGGTGGCACATTGAACTAGGCGTACAAAAACCTTCTTACACAGGATAATAGAAGCAGGAATACCTCATTACCAGCTGATTCATCTCTTTGAGGGAATTTCTGTTTTGATTAGTGGAAGCTTTCTGATTTAAAGGAAGAAAAATAACATAAAAAGGAATATTTTATCTGGAGTTATTTCAATGCAATTGGCCATCAGGGAATAATTTGCCAGAGTCAAATCTTGTATTGCACCAGAGGCATCCCAGACTGTGGTCTGTAAAAAGCATGGCATTCCTGCTAGAAGATGTCATCCCATATTTTGTATGTTCTTTTTCCTGAAAAGTCTCACCCTAAGCAAATGGAAGCCTGCAGGCATTCAAATCTCAGTAGAGTGACCTGTTTACTAATGATCCTTTTTCTTCCCTCACATATATGAATCTAGTGAGGAGGAATACTGCATTGCTACATAAAAAATTGATACAAGTCAAGCCACTCAAATACTACTTCAAACCATAGATCAGACAGGACCTGCAAAAGAAAGAGGGTTGATGTAATGTTCTAACCAGAGGACAAAGTTGCATGTGTGCAGCATGTTTGTGCTATGGGCAGCCTTGGTGTTAGTTCAGTTCCACACACATTCTCACTGTTGCTATCTATTAATAAATTTTCCCAGCTGACAATTGCACCTCAAAAAATCTGCTGTCTCATTAGTGCTTGTATGACAAGCTCTCAAACAAGTCTGACATATAGGTAAGGAGAAGAAGGTTTAGATCCTCTTTGTTTAAAAGTTTCAGGTAATTTTCAGTATGTCTCAAGTGGTGCTCTTTGACAGTGACAGAGAAAAGTTTTAGGAAGAGGGATTTGTGGAAAGTGTTTGGAGGAGACTGACTCTGACTGCACTGAGCAGCTGCTCTTCAATCATCTCCAGCACACAGGTGAGTTTACACATTTAGAGAATCCAAAGTCATCAGTGCAATTTCCAAGATTAAATATGATTGAAAGTTGCAGAAGGATCCCATTAGTATTTCTTTTCTTTTCTTTTCTGTTGTAGATGCTTTCCTGACCCACATAGTTATTTTGTGTGCTACACTTCTCCTGGCAGCAAAGGTCACTTAAGAAATTTTGACACCATATTTTTCCACCCACTCAGTAGTGCTGTCATGAGAGTTTGTGAGGTTGTGTTGTAAAATGGTACAGAGGAGTTACCAGGGCTAAAAATAAACCTTTCAGCCAACCCCTTTTTTTTGTGTGCTAGTTCATTTCATCTCTGATAGTAGATGCTTTGGACTAGAACCAAAGTATCACTTAGAGTAAATACAAGCTGCTATCAGCACTATGGAAAAAGCTGCACCTAGTTTCTAGACAAATTATTCTGCATGTTGGAGCTGCCAGCTGCACAAGTCAACACTAAATTCACAAATGCAGTAATTAAAATACAAAATAAAATACTTTTTCCTTTGGATTTACACATGCATCTTTGTGTATGTAAATTTTTAGTGCAATCTACATCTTTGATCAGTAAAACCAAAGCATGGATGCAAGCAGAATTATTTACATAATGAAATAATATCCTTAAATATAAATTATTTGCTTTAATAAATCCCTTCATCTGAATTTAAAGGTATTTATGTCCTCACTAGTTCTAAAAGATGATAAACAGGTCAGTTGGATACCATCAGAAATGGGGCTAGCCTGTAGCACTTTGTGACATTTATCTTTGCTATCTTCTTCCTCTTAATTTTGCATGGCAATCTAAACATCACTGAAATGATATCTGTAAGGTAGATACAGAGGAGTAGCTGAGCTGGTGCACTGTGTTTTTGTTGCTGATAACTGGAAAGGAGCAGTGCCTTAGGCTCTAAAATGTGACTGTGTCATCATTACAAAATGTTGTTCAGTTGTTTCTGGGCACCTGCCCAGTACTACTAAACGCTGATATTAGTTCTAGGACATTAGTGGCTGACACATTCTTAATCAAATTCTTAATGTAATTGATTTGTATTCTCAGCATTCTTTTTTATCTTTTTTTTTTCTGTCATTGCAATTTTGACATTATCCAACTGAACATGTTTGCAGGACAATTTTTTACTGGCCTGCATTTGAAACATGGAATAAGAGATAGATAAGTTAAGAAACAAATGCAATGTTTTGTCTTCCAGGGAAAGTCTCTGGCCAGGCCATGTAAGTGTTTCTGTGTTGGAGCCAAAAATCAGTGCTGGAGAATAGTAAGCAGCATACAGTTACTGCCTTTGCAGAAAATTTTTCAATAGTTGATGGCAAATAAGTTTTACCCTTACCTTGATGAGGTAAGTGTAGATTGTTTTCTTTTAACCCATGCTTATAATCTTCCTGAAATGAGCTTTAGTTAATGTACATGGCACTGGTATTGCATTAGTGCAGCTGCACCCACAGAGGTGATGGTTGATGCATTGCATGCACAGCATAAGGTCCCCACTGATGTTGCAGGATGCTGGGGCCACTTTGAGTGGGATCATGGAGCTCAGCCTTCCTCTGCTGCTCCTGCCAGGAGAGCTCTGCTGCTGTCAAGGCAAAAGTACAAAAGTACTTCTCCCAGAGGGAGGAATTCAGGCGACATTTCAGCAAGGAGGCAATGAAATGTATGGTAAAGAAAGACAGGAGCAATGCTTGACTTCAGTGTAACCATGAGCAATCATTGTCTCTGGCTTTGGATGAGATTGAGCTGGTTGGCTGGAAGAGGCTGCTGACAAGCACGTGCACAGCAGCTGAAGAAACCTCACCTGTGTAAAGTGCTTTTAAATGAAGGATTTTAGGACAATGTCAAATGCTGTCATGAAACCACACATGGAAAACCAGTCCTTTATGTCATACCAGAAGAGAGACTAATCTAGGTTGAACAGCAACCAGTTACAACACAGTTTAAATGTTAAAGAAGAAATTATTTCTTTTCAAATAGGATGGTTGAGTTCTGAAACAGCAGTTTCACAGAGTGTAGGGAAAAATTGGGTTGCATTTACGTTGTATCATCGTCACCACGTGAGGGGAGAGGAAGTTAAGCTGCAAGTTTGACATGCTTTCATTTGGTGTTCTGCTGATCTTCAACCAAGGCAGCCTGATGCAAATGCTAATAATTCTGCATGATGATCATCATTTCAATGAAACTTCTTTTAACACTGTGTTTTGGCTGCTTAGGTAAGTGTTGGTTTGGTTTTTTGGCTGTTTTTCTTTTGTTGATGTAGTTGTTTTGTTTTTAGTTAGTCGCCTGTAATCGCTGGATTTGAAAAAAAAAAAACTTATGGTATATCCACCTCAAATACACATGTGAGACAAGGAGAATATTAACTGTTTTTTCATAATGCTGAAAGCAAGATTAAAAAGCGTGAGAAATCAAAAACATTTTCACAAAGAAATTGTTGCAGGGAAAGCATAGAGGAACAAATTGAACACTTCAACACCCAAAATGATGTTAGGTTAATGTATGCACCATCTTTTTAGGATTTCTGACTTGATTATTTGCTATGACAAATGCTGAATGTAGAATTTTAAAGTGTTGAGGAGGATTTCTCTAGATCACATAGGTACTGAAATACAAAGCAGATAAGAATTCATAGTTCTTGTTCAATACAAATTGCAGTGGATAATGCTGAAGTTAAGGAGGAGTTAAGAAGTTAGCAAAATATTTTTTTTCACTGATATTTTTCAGAAAAACAGTAAAGATGAAAATATAGCACTGTCAATAGCACAACTGTGTTTTAAACAACAAACTGAATGAACAGAAAAACTGAAATCCATGATTATTTCTTTAACTTGAACAGCTTCTAGGTTCTTTACACACTACATCAATTATTTCCCTTATTTTTTTCTGCTGCTTATATTACCCTATGCTTTCCATATTGTTTTCTACAAGTTTTTAACTGTTGCATTGTAAAGATGGAGGTGCCTGACTCCTTTACTTGTGATGAATGTGTGGCTTTTTCTATTGAAAAAATAGAAAAATTTTTTGCATATTTTTGATAAAACTGATCAGATGCCATTTTAGGGTGAGATATGAAAAAGTGTGTCTAATTAGTTATATCTTGCTGTGAAATATGCCTGAGTGATAAATTGGATAAAATTTAGAAGAAAATCATACCATTCACTCTTATTATTAGTTCTTCACTTTAATGTTGTAAAGGATAGAAAAAAGGAATTATAATTCTTCATACAGCATATGAAAATCATTTTCTCAGCAGTCATGGGAATAGATTTTATAGGATTAGCACTTTTGTAATGAGCATCAATGCCATTAGAATATAAAAAGAGTTATCTGATACCCACACAGTGGTTTCACTTTAGAAGAAAATGTTTTGTACATATATTGCACAATGTCTCATGTGTTACTCACTTTGCATGCTAACAGTGAGAGAAAAATGTATTGAAAGCAGGAAGGAACAAAAATTTTGATTTCTGCTGATACTGTCCAAGTCAGCCTTTTCTTAGAATCCAGACAAGAGACCCCATGAGAGAACAGGGATCTTTGTGGCTTCTCTTATTAAATGAAGGAGGTGAATTTGGTGTTATAAACTGCTTGTCAGCAAGTACTTAATGGAAGAAGTTGAAACCAAACGAAAAAAACACCTCTAAAATGCTGTAAACTTGTCATTCATTAGAAGCAGTGCTGGACAAGAACTCCTATATAAGGACAAAAATTGCAGTGTCTTTTTCTTTATCCTTGATGAGTTTTTCACTATTGACTAATTAATTATTCTGAATTACTCCTTTTGCTTATTCTTTATCTGGTAGAGAGTGTTTGATATGCTTCAGGCTCAATCTCTTTTTATAAAGCTTTTTGTTGAAAGTAAAAATATGTTTATCGGCAAGCATGCAGAAAATATTCATTTATTGCACACAAACAATGATGGAGGACTTTACACATCAGGTTAAAAGTTTACTTTAGCCAGAAAACAATTGCTGTCATTCAAGGGAGAAGTGAGTAGTAAGCTTGAAATTAATGCCATAATGATTTTACAGTATTAATTGTTATTTTAAATGTTTATTTTAATATTTAAACACTTCTTTAATATTTAAGGTATTTCTTGTAAATACTGCTTTAATGACATCTCTTTGTTGTTTTACCTTTTAAATCTGTGTGTATTTCTCCATAGCTACAGATCCCAAAAATTTAAGAGTCATCCAAACACCAACAAATATAAATCTATCAGTTGGAGACTACACTGAAATCACCTGTATTTGGGAAAAAGCTGTTGAGAGGTGTAGAGCATGCTGGTATTTTGTTAATCAAGTGAACATCACTAAAAGTATATCATCAAAACTTCTTTATTTGTCCAACATCACCCATGAAAGCAAGGATGTGCTCGTCATCAAATCTGCCAATGTAAATGACACTGGATTTTACTACTGTGAGATCATTATTGAAATACCTTTCCTTAAAAAACTACGTGGCAATGGGACAACAGTGATTGTTGAAGAGAAAGGTAGGCTGGCAAGGCATGTGTGCCATATCACTTCTCATCAGAAAGATTCTTCAGTTTGAACTATGTTCTGCATTTCCTTCCCCTCCCACCTTCCTTCCTCAACACTTTGGATCTCTGGGTGAAAGAGACAAACACAAAGAGGGCATGAACAATTTTTAATGACAATTGACTCAAACTGTCTGCCTTAATATCTCCAGTGCAGTGTTTGTTTTCCTCCATAAGGATTTGCTAATAGGAATTATTACCTAAGGCTTACAGAAATGCTGTGCATGAGCTGTGTGTTTCACACGAGCCCCAACCACAGCTGGGTGTGAGACACTGAGAATCTGCTGGGTGCTTGCAGGGGGCTGCAGTGATCACATGGTTACTCTGCTCAGTAATCTGTAACCTTTACTAACCTTTTTAATTTTTTATTACAAGTTCTTAATGAAAAGTGAGAAATAAATCAATATGGATGATGGAGCAGTATGGGCCCTACATGGATTTGTGTCCATAAAATTGTTGTGGCTAATTGTTTTGTATGTGCTGTGTCTCCCTGTTTTGCCAAAGACATATGCTAACTTTTACAGGGGAGCAGTTTAAGGTTCCAATTCTGAGTTAAGCATTGAACAGCATGAATGCAATTAGTATTCACACACAACTAAAATTTTCAGCAATAGGAGTGAGATCTGTTTACCCTTAAATTATTAATACAATGTGAGACACCCAGAAGACAATTTACCTTACTTCTGTTATACAACTAACTGAAGACATCATGCACCAGTTCTGGAAGATCCTGATCTTCAGCTCTCTTTATACCTCTCAAATGCAGAGAAGGACTAGGGAACTAGATTAGACCTTCAGCATTACCAAACATCACTCACTTGCTGATTGGTCAAGTCACAGGAAGCCTTTCCAATCCTGCAGTACACTTCAGTTTTGCACAGTATTTTATACCATGGGTCAACTGGTTCAAAGGGAAACACAAAAATTATCAAAGATTTAGAAAATATCAATGCCAGAGAATCAATGAAGTCGTGTTCAAAATGGTGGACAATTAATGCAGATTAGTTTAACTCTTTAACAGTGTTTTAATGTCCTAAAATGAGTTAGGGAATCTGATCTCTTGCTTGGTCAAGTACAAGCAGAAAAGCCTTGTGGGGAGGGGGAATGTGAATCTGCAGGAGCTGTAGGAGGTACTGATGTTATTGTTCATCAGGCATACATCCCTTAGAAATGGGAAAGAGACCTTGTACCTAATTCACTCTTGAAATAATTTTTAATTTTACTTGCCTTTTCTTTTGCTGTGATATTGATCTTTTATTTTATCTTTGACCAGTACATCATTATATTTAAAATTTATAATTGCAGCAGCTCACTCACTGAGAAGGAGATATTTGGAATCATGGGCCATCCTTCCTTTTTTAGTGGCAGTGGGAAGCTTGTATCTTTGCTACAAAAAGAAAAAGTACTCCACTCTATCTGGTGAGTTACAAGATTTCCATTAGCACAAATAAGTTATGGGTTTGGTTTGAGATGGCTGGAGAGGTGCACTGAGGAGGTATTTCAGTGTATAATTTGCTCACCTGGTCCTGGTCTGCTGAGGCATCTCGAGCTGACAGGAGGGGTCAGAGGCACAGCTCGTAGTTCAGGATGCAGCCACTTGCTTTCATTATTTACCTTCTAAGGAGAGTCATCACCTTAACTGAAGGTCTTGACCTGGCTAGGGTATTCAAGGATATCAGTTCTGATAATTTCTTGCTGATTTCTGACTGAAAAAGTGAGGAGCCAGAACTTAGCTCTGCATCACAATCTCTTACTCCTGGTAGTGACAGCTGGAAGTGACATGTGAAAGACCCAGCCTTGAACACATAGTTCTGTTTTTTTCAGGCTGTGATTTCTTTCTAATTAATTATTAATTTGGGTTGGGAGGAGGGTTTTGGAGGGCAGTTTTGTTTGTTCATTTGGGTTTTATGTTGTTGATGGGTTTGGGGGGTCTTTTTCAAAATCTAGAACTTTAAGGATGGAAGAAATCATAGGAAGATAATGGTGAATGACAAGGGTGCAGGCCAAATATAAATGTAGGGCATCTGTGAATAGAGGGCTCAGATTAGTGAGATGATCTAAGGCAGCCTCTTCAGTAACTGTTTGGGCTGTTTTCAGTTTATTTCATTTACAGCCTGAATAGCACTCTAGCTCCTGTCATCAAGACTAGCTGTACAAGAGCTCTGCTCTCTCCATTTCGGTGTTTATTGAGCTCGGGCAGAACACAGGTTTGACTCTGGACATGGACAGTAAGCAGGCACTGACTGGAGCTTGGCTTTTATAAGGTGCTGCACAGCTTCCTGTGCTGACAGGAGGGCAAGAGCAGGAGCAGAGACTCGAGGTGGAAGAGCTTCATGGGAGAGATGAATCCACCAGGGAAGCAGCTGAGGAAAACTCATCATCTAATTCTGCTGAATGGGTAAGAGGTTTATAACAAGATTCATGCTGTGAGAGGGTTTTCAAAATGAGGCACTGGGGAATGGACAGAACAGAAAGCACACAAGAACCTGCTGTTCCTAGGACAGCATCTTCCTACACAGGAAAAAGGTTTAAAGCAAAAAAAAAAAAAAAAAAAAACACCACAATCAGAAATAAGAAGAGGGATATTTATGTAATAGGAAAGTATTGACATCTGTTATTATAGTTAAAAACACTCTAAGATTGTCTGGAGAAAAGGGCAGCAAAAAGCAGAGAATATCAATATAGAGACTGAGTGAAAGAAGGAAACATAGGAGAAGTAAAAAGTGGCAAGGAAGTCCCTTTATATGTAACTGTGTACCAAGGTCAAGGATCATTAGAGCAGGCAATGCTTACTGAGAGCAGGTAGCAGGTTTCTGGCAAGCTCCCTTTTCCATGCAATTATTCATCTTCTAATTACTTTGAAATATAAATTAGGCAAGGGAAAGAAGCCCTAATTTAACCCTTGCATAGGCAGGCACAGTTTTTATTGCAATCAGCTGGAGAGACTTGGGCAAGTCACATGGAAGAGATGAAAAATGTTCAAGCCCATGGTCACAATTCCAGTTACTGAGCTTACAGATTCCAGGTTCTCCCATAAGAGAACCTGGCTGCAGCCTTGATTTGGTCACATTAGTACTGTGGTCATGGCAAGAGAAAATATCAACATGCAGGTAGTGAAACAGTAATATCCATCTTTTGTTGAGCAAGAGTCATTGCTCTAAGAAAAATAAAATACCTGGGAAAATTCATTCTCTGTAGGTAGATTGCCACTGAAGCTAAGAGACTTGCTTTTACTGGAGATATCATAGTAGAAAATTACAAGAATACAAGTCATAATATGGTCTGGTCATAGTAATAAATTATTCTAATTGCTAGCTATGAAGAGATTATGCTTCTGCTTGTTAATATTTAATGAAGTTGTAGGAAAATGAGGTTGAGAATGAGAAAACAAGCATCCTAGGGGGTGCTGAGTGAAAAGTTCATTAGTAGCCAGTTACTGCTCAGGATTTGTGTGGGTAAGACTGCTTCAGAGGATGTGTGAATGCAATAAAAATCTTTTGCAGCTGCTCCATGATTTAGCAGCTACCAGCCACAGTGATGTATCGTGGCCTAGGTTCAGTATTTTCCTCCATGTAACAGACCTTTTCGATATTTTAGTGAAAGCAGAAAGAGTGGTTTCATAGTGTCATCCTTTTAAATGTTCAAGCATAATTGGATGTTATAAATCATTCAAGAGGTCCAGTGGGTTAGTAAGGCCAGTACATGCAACGTGTATGGACACCACATTTCAAACAAATTAAGCCAGCAGTGATAAGCAAATATTATGGTATCTCTGGAATTGCCCTTACTGCCTTTCAATTGTATTGCAGAACATTATCACCTTAATTTAATTTTTTTTTCTGATTGTGAGAAAGTCTCTACTTACTTGGGAAAAACAAGTCTCACACTGGTTTTTAATATAACTTACACTTTTCTTGTTAAGTTTGGAAATTTGGTGAATATTCTGAGTCGGTTTGGGTATCATTTCTAGAACAGTGAACATGAAGGTTATATCTGCCTCTGCAAGACTACTTACAGTCTCATGCTTTTTTTCCAATTCTTGGTGTTGAAAAGGCAATCCTGCAACACAGAAATTGAATCAAGCCATGGATTTTATTCTCACCTGTATTATATGTCACAGCAACACTGAGCAATTAGGTCAGGTGACAACATAGGTGCAAGTACCCAAGGTAACTTAAGCTGGGAGTTAACATCCTCATGGCAAAGCTGGCTCCTGTAGCACTTATCTCTGGAGAATCATCCCATGTTTCCTCAGCTCAGGGAGTTTTTCCCAGACAGTTCTGCCAGCTGCAGAGGGATTTGGCCTTTGAAGGAGTTCCCAGTGCAGTTGATGATTTTTTTCATCTAGTTCTGGAGGTTCCAGTCAAAATTTAAGCACTCTTGTAGCATTAATACAAAAATCCAGCTCATGGTAGCATGTATAATGCTCACTCCTGACTGGGGAGCTCTAGTTGTTCAAAACACACAGAACTGTGATGCAGCTTGGCTGGCCACCCCTGCCATCCCCCTGTTTGACATTTGTCTGGCAGGTACCCCTCTGTGCTGACTATGGCTCATCAGAGCACAGACAGCAAACCCCCACAGCAGCATGTAAGTGTGAAGACAAAAAGCCACTTCTTCATAACTTCCACCCATTTATTCATTTATGCCGTCTCAGCTTGAGATTTTGATTTTATGTATCTGTGGGAATAGGTCTTTGTGTACATTTCAGGCAGATCTTTAATTCTCATATTTTGCTAAAGGACTTACCCATGTATGTTTAGGAATAGGATGACTTTTGCACTGTCCAGAAGAGCATCTGAATACCACAGCAGTGTGCTAGTTTACTGCATCAAAAGAACATCCCTCCAGAGGGAAAAGTATGATGAAGTTTTTTGGAAATATCAGAGTTAAAAGATTAAGGGGGTGAAAATGTTTTCCATTTCAGATTTCAGAGAATCTGATCTACCCTGAAACTTGACATCTTTAGTATTCTAAAAAGGTATTTTGTGCCTGCTGCCTAATTAACTAAGACAATTGAATCTGAATATAGGAAGGCTTTGCCTTTCAACAATTAATACTGAAACATTCATTTCTTCTGTGATTGTAACTTCATGGCCTGTGTTTCTCTGTGTTTCCTGGGGCTGTGCTGTGTCATGGGTAAAAGTTTATTTTACATCTACTTTATGGGTAAAAGTCTTGACAGACATTTTCTTTGTTTTTTAAGGCTGTGTCTCTGCTTTATGAATCACTTGAAATTTTATGCAATGAATCAGGAGGAAAAGATGACAAATCCACTGCAACTATTGTGTCTAATGGAGAAGATGAGCAAATCCCACAAACTAGGGCAGCTGAAAAGTCTGGAATGAGACAAGGATCTGCCATCTACTTTGACATTCAGAACTAAACAAAATATGGCTAAATAACTATGAAACTGAAAAATATGATAATTTGCTGCTGCAAGATGGATTACGTGTTTCCTGTCAAAAGCTTGTCAGTGGGACAATACTGAAGAAAAACAGTTGGCTCTAAGCAGTTTTTGAATGTTTTGTCACTAATAAAACATTCTAAGGAATCTCTGAATTTGGAGAATATGTCATTTAGAAAACTGTCTTCAGCTCTTCCTCTTGTGTCCAGAAATACTCTGTTTACCACACTTTGAATAAAACTTCTGGACTGAGCAGCATTCTCCAACACAAGCATTTCTTCAGGAAGCCCATGGATGAATAGGAGATGATAGAGACAAAAATGCATGGAGTCTGAACTCTGAAGATGTCATCAGTTCTGACCACATTTTAGACAGAGAGGTATGCCAGAAAGGATTATATTCCTGTTATATATAAAGGGACTGTTAGTGTTAATTCATTCACAAACTAGGAAAAGTCTTCCAGAGAAAGAAGTCTCCTACACACAATGAAATACTAGATTTAAATTAAGATATATATATATATATATATATAGATAGATAGATAGATAGATAGATAGATATATTTATAATTATTGTCTAACTGGTTCAGGAGGGCTGCCTGGAGGAGATAGGGGTGGTAATTCTTATTCCACTTTTTCCAGCTTTAAAACATTTTAAAAAATCACTGAAGAAAAACCAAAGTTGAAAAAATTAAGGAGAACTTGGCTTCCAAGGTCAGAACACAGGGGAAAGTTTTGACAGCAAAGCTAATGGCAGTTGTCCAAGGGCTGCTGAATGCTAAGAGTGGATATCTGAAATGTGAATGTGTTTATGTACCAGGGTTATGTTATCTTCTGTTAATGCTTTTTGCATAGCTTAGCTGGAGGTTGGAACATCTTGCCGTCAGTGCAGGTAGAAACAAATTCACTGCTGGAGATTTTTGTCCAGCTTGTACCTGGGCAGTGCAATAGATACAATCCAGCTTTCCCAGAGCCCTTACAAACTACTTGTGTAGTCTAAATGTGTGACTGGCTTCCTACTAAATGCTGTTCAAGAAATCTTTGTGGCCATACAGAACAGCTCATGGTGTGGCTCAGTCTGTGCTGTACTGAAATTCCCAAAGCTACCTCTCAAATCACTGTAGCTCAGCTGGGTCCCATTCTGGATCCTTTCCTGGGTTATTCTGTAACCCGCCCTGACTTCCCTACTGCAATAAATATGCTGCTGTCTGAACCAGACTGTAATCAGTGCTCTGTGATTATGTCTTGTATGAGAGAAACAGTTATAATACATCTCATGGTATTTATGTGTAAATGGAATAAAGCAAAAAAATATTCTTTTTCTCTTCTTAAAGTTCAGGTCCTGAAACTCACTATTACAGATCCATTTCCTTCACTGCATGGTGGAACTCTGTCATATGCCATATTCCTTTAAGGATCAAAGATAGGACTGCCCTGGATTCCCCCAAGCCCTGTAACTTTGTTTGCCACACAAGAAAGTCATAATCTGTAAAACAGTGACCTTCAGCCCAAGTCCCTTGACCTTCCCCAAGTTCAAGGAAGCTCTCAGTTATGCACCAGAGCTGTAAGTGGGTGCAGTAAATTTTGGTCTTTCTATATACTGCTGCTTACTTCTCTGTTTAATCACAATGTACATTTTTCAGGAAAAATGTTAAAGAAAACTGCAGCTTAATAGTTTCCAAATCCTATTTTCATTACATTTTGATTAAATGTGGCTCCTAACAGCAAAGAATGCTGCCTTCTTAACAGCTGCACACATTTTGTAAGTTAACATGGTCATTTCCAACATCTGTAGAAGACTCCATCCAATTTATCATGACCTATTTTTATCTGTGGCTGACAGTGGTGGCTATGAGCCAACAGAGTATTTTTAGAGCTCCAGCTTTTGACACCTCTGCCTCAAATATATTAGCTTCTCTGCTTCTGTGCCACTTGGGAAGCAATAAATCCTTCTGTGTTTTAATTCTTCTTGGCTGTTTTGTTAGCTTTAAAACAAAACCAGTGCTCTGTAATTAACCCCAGGTCACGTTCTAGCAGGCAGTATGATCTCAGTTTTAACTGTCTGTTTAGCTGATGAGAATATAATGAAGGCATCTGTCTAATAATAGAACTTGAAGAGAGTCCTGGGCCTTTGCTTTTAGCCATTTTATTGGTTATTCCCTTTTGAACAAGCTGCTGAAAAATGATGGTTCTATTCCATTTAATTTATGTCCAAAGTGTTGTGTTGAGTGCAGGCTGAAACATGCTGATTTAGGAGCAAGTCTGGCACAATGAATTCAAAAGCCTTGTGTGTGTTCTATGTTTTTAATGTCTCACCAATGTACTTGGCTTAGTCACAGCCCTACGAATGAGGATCCCTCTCTGCTTCTGTCACGCTCCTGACCCTGGTTTGCAGAGCTAGTACAGTCTGCTTGAGCCTGAACTCTCTCTCTTCCCAATCCCTTGCAAAACCAGACAAGGAGTCACATCTTATTTACCCTCCCTAGCACTTAGGTAGCTGCTCTTAGTGACTGAGTATGATCTAGCTTGACCTGCACATTTTCTTCCAAGCCCTGGACTGGGGTTCCTTCCTCTCATTGTATCCATGGAAGAAGATCATGGAGCAGGCATTCCCAGCCCCATTACACCAAGGACCTCAGAGGCAGGCAGGATGATGAGTTGTCCCAATTATTGTGTTTGCAGAACAGCTCTGTTTGTGTGTGGTACCGAGCCCTGCACAGCCACTCACTCCCTCCTGTCTCCCCTGTGGTTACAACGGGGGCAGCTGTAAAGGGCTTTTTATTATCATTGTTTTTTCTAAGAGCTCTTCCGTCAGTTCTTTGTAAACAGGAAACTGCAAATACAACTGACAAACAAATACTCAGATCAAAAAATGTGACGCAATTTCTCTAATGAAGAGAAAGGGCAGGTGACCATGTGCCAGTGTTTCTTGTTTTCTACCTAATGTGAAATGCTGAGATGGGAGGAAGGATTTTTATGAACATTCAAATAAAACAGCTTTGGCAAAGGTGCTGTGGTCTGGTGCTGCATGCCAGTGAATTTTGCTGGCTGAGAGAATGCAACAAAAATTAGTTCCTTGTCTTTTTTCCAGAGCAGAGACTGTTGGCAGGGCTTGGCAGTATCTTATACAGCCAAAGCTGCCCTTCCTAACCTTGCTTCAGGAAGTATTCAACTCCACAGAGGTGGAGGAGTATAAAAAGGACAAGGCAGAGAGGCAAAAGTGCAGCATCTGTGTTAGGTATTATTAATGGGCTTAAGACAGTCAGAGATCAGAGGAACAACTGAACAACTTAAGGGTTTGGAATCATAACAAGGAACTGGGCCTGTCACGTGCATTTGCTCTGAAATGTTGTCTATTCTTTTATCTGCTGATGTCCTTGTCTTGTCCTAAACTTGAATGCTCAGCTCCACAAGCCAGGAATGCTATATCTGTAAATTGCCAGGCCTAACACAATTGCAGCCCATGGTTAGGGTTTCTGATACTGCTGTGGAAATAAATCATGAAAGCAACTAATAGGTGTTGCTCCCTTCTTCACTTTTTAGCTTTTAATTCTGGAGAGAGGAAAAAAGCCATAAGCTTCTCTAATAAAGACAACACAAACTAGTCAGGTAGTAGGGTGAAAGACACTCCAAAAATACCAATTTTCTTTCTTTTCTCAGATAGAAAAGCTCTGCTTTTTCAGTTTAGCAGCTGTACAATATTAAAAGGTGTCATTTCAAGTTTCTTTTTAAATACAGACTAAGCTTACTCTAAACTGCAGATCTAATCTCCAAGAGGGGCTGCTATGAAGCAAGAAAGGAAATGGAAAGAGCAGTTACCATTTAATTCAAACTGGTTACCCCTGGGTAGAAAGAGTTGCAACAGCTTTCTCACCTCACCTTCAGCTGAGCAGTGTGGCCTCAGAGCTGTGTGAGTGCTGAGCACGGGGACATCACCCCGGTACAGGCTGTTCCCAAGACACCACAACCAGGACACCAGTGTCCTGGCACAGCAATGGCTACCCCAGTTAAGACACATACCAGGTAGGACATCTAGATTGCACATTTGGCAATTTTGGCCATACTAATGCAGCTCCTGTATTTGTATTTGTGACCACATTTCCGCAACAGAGTCAAGCATCCTCTCTTCTAGGTGAGACTCTATTTGTGGTTGGATTCTCCTCTCCAAAGCAAGGATTCTCCCACTTCTGTGCAGATCATTTTTTATTCTCCTATTTGTTGAAAGCTTTCTCTTTTTCTGATGAGTGAAATCTGAAGTTAAATGATCTGTTACAAAAGCAGGCTCTAGTTCCATTTCCCACCCCTGCTTCCAGTATTTCTGAGCCCAGCATTTTCCGCCATTAGCAGTGGCAGAACTGCTAAAAAAGCCCCACTCCTTATCAGTTACACTGCACTCTGTGATTGCTTTCAGGAAATGAAAAACAGCCAGCTCTGTAAAATGTGTGTGCCTGGGGAACTTCCACTCCAGCAATTAGCCTTGTAAATCTTCCTGGAGGCATCTATGGATATCACCTCACTTTACACACAGTTCTGGGAGAGGAGGTCAGTCCTACCCATATCCTCAGTGTACACATAAATTCATATTTCAAAATGAAAAAAAAAAAGTTTTTTAGAAAGGGAAATGCATAGGTGTTTCTTTGATGTGTTTCCTGCATGGACACTCAACACTAAACAACTTTCTCTTAGGTATTCCTTCCTGTCAGAAAATTTTTTTGTACAATGAAGGAATAAGTGTATTGCTAAATTCATAATTAAGCACGACAGCTAACAGAGCCAAAATATTCCTCCCTGCATACACAAGTCTCTTGAGAGCTTTGCTGGAATTGGCTAATTCATTTTTGCATGTTTTACCTCTCTATAACAAACAGGAACTTCCTTTAAAAGGTTTACTTAGTTGTTTTTGTTACAGAACAACTATCCTTCCTCATAGCTCTGTTTGAACCTTTCTGATTTTTCCTCTCTTTTTCTTTTCCTTTTCCT